GGTGCTGATGGTGATGATGATGATGCTGCTGCTGATGATGATGCTGCTGATGATGATGATTATGCTGATGCTGATGCTGATGCTGATGCTGCTGATGATGATGATGATGATGATGATGATGATGAGGAGGAGGAGGAGGAGGAGGAGGAGGAGGAGGAGGGGGAGGAGGAGGAGGAGGAGGAGGAGGAGGAATTGGAGGAGGGGAGGAGGACCCAAATGGCCAGAATCGAGGATGCGCGCCCGTATCGGACAAGCATCGCATCGCATCGCTGGAGCTTTGGGGCCCGCGCCCGAGCGAGCGCGCGCGCCTCGCGGAGGGTGGGGCGATGGCGCGCCCGCCCGGGCCGCGGCCGGGCGGCGGTCGCCAGGGCCGGGTGCTGCTGCCGTGGCTGGCGTGGCTGGCGCTGCTGCCCTCGGCGAGGCAGGAGGGCGAGGAGTCAGTGGGGGAAGAGGTACCTATACCGCTGTTCCTCCTCCTCCTCCTCCTCCTCCTCCTCCTCCTCCCCCTCCTCCCTCATCCTCTTCTGCCTCCTCCTCCTCCTCCTTTGCCTCCCCCTCCGCCTCCTCCTCCTCCGCTCCTCGTCTTCTTCTTGCCTGCCTGCCTGCTGCTACTGCCCGGCCTAGTCGGGCGACTCTTACCCTGTTCCTGACAGGCGAGGAGGTACCAATGCCTCCTCCTCTTCTCCTCCCTCCTCCTTCTCCTCCTCCTCCTCCTCCTTCACCTGTTTCTCCTTCGCCTCTTCCAGGCGTGCGAAGCAGCCTCTGCCCATGCTCAGTTTTCGCTTTTCTCGGCCTCATGGGTGGCCCTCGTCGCACACGCTGGATTCGCCTCGAAACTCTGGGCAGAATTCCGGGCCTCCCAGATGGGGTGTCCGAGCAGATGGGGTCGGAGGTTCGCGCCGCATCGCCGATGCATCGGTGATGCGGCTCGATGTGGAGCCCCATTTTCTCCACGCCGACGTCGCCGATGCATTGCCGAAGTATCGCCGATGCAGCGGCGATGTGGCGCGATCCTCCGAACCCCCTCCAAGGCTCGGACCCTATCTGGAGGGCCTCCAGGAGAGCGCAACCCCCGCGAGAGGGAGGTCCGCCGAGCAGCGGCACAGGGTGCCCTCTGGGGCCTCCTCCTCCTCCTCCTCCTCCTCCTCTTCGCCTTCTTCTTGTTCTTCTACTTCTCTTATCATATTATTCTTATTGTTGTCTTTATTCTTCTTATTCATATTTTGTTTATTCTTCTTCTTCTTTTTCTTTCTCGTCTTCATTCTCCTCCTCCTCCTCCTCCTCTCCCACCTCCTCCTCCTCCTCTTCCTCCTCCTCCTCCTCCTCCTCCGCCTCCTCCTCCTCCTCCCCTCCTCCTCCTCCTCCTCCCCTCCTCCCCCTCCCCCTCCTCCCCCTCCTCCTCCTCCTCCTCCTCCTTTGCCTCCTCCTCTTCCTCCTTCTCCCCCCCCAAGAGGAGCGGGTGTTCCTGGCGGCCGCGCCCAGCGCCTGCGGCCAGGGGGCCGAGGTCTGGGACGCCGGGGGGTGGCGGCTGCTGGACGTGTGCGGCGCCACGCGCAACGCGCACTTCGGCGCCTACCACTGCGAGGCCATGGCCCTGCCCGCCCTCGTGGCCCTCGGCGCCTCGGCCAGGCGGGCCCTCGTCCTCCTCCTCCGCCTCCTTCTCCTCCTCCTCAATCCTCCTCCTCCTCCTCCTCGATCCTCCTCCTCCTCGATCCTCCTCCTCCTCGATCCTCCTCGATCCTCCTCCTCCTCGATCCTCCTCTCCTCCTCCTCCTCCTCCTCCTCCTCCCCCTCCTCCCTCCTCCTCCTCCTCCTCCTCGATCCTCTTCTTCCTCCTTCTCCCACTCCTCGATCCTCCTTCTCCTCCTCCTTCTCCTCGTCGTCGTCGTCGTCGTCCTCCTCCTCCTCCGCCTGGCGCCTCGGCCAGGCGGGCCCTCGTCTTCGGGGGCCCGGACGGGTGCGTGGCCACGCAGCTGCTGAAGAGCCGCGACCTGGAGGAGCGGCGCGTTCGGAAGGGGGGGAGGGGGGAGGGCGGGCACTTCGGGTTAGGATTAAGTCGGGCCTGTCCCTCTACATGGGGGGTATTCAACAATAGTCAAGAAATAGTCAGGGGACTATTTTTTGAGTATGTTTTGAGCATTTTGGAGAGAATTATTGGAGTATTTTTTACTTCCGTCGAAACTCCCGCTGTAGGGGGACACGCCCGACTTAAGGTTAGGAGGTCGTGGGTGCCTGGCGTGTGCCCTCGTGGTTCTGTCTTTGGCGTCGACTCGCGTCGATTGGCTTCGATCAGAGTCAAGATGGCGCCGACTTAGCGTCGACTCGCGGCGATTTTGCGCCGATTCACCGTCGACTATCGTCGACTGACGGCGATCCGCGTCGATTCGCAAGAGCCGACAAGATGGGTATGCAAGGCTCCCATGAGTTGCCATCGAAGGAACGAGGACCGAGGGTAATTCCTGTTCGTATTGATCAGGCTTCGCCGTCGGCCTCGCCGCGGACGATGCCCTCTCGAGGCAGGAGGCCGCCTGCCCCACGGCG